AATTTGGGTGGCCCTATACTACCACTGAGGAATATTTTTTCGCCAGTTTGGCATATGTGCATGTTGTGCCGTGTGTCCAAGCTGTGCCCATTGACTGACTGGCTATGGTTGGTTTTTAAAATTTTAGTGTGCAGTATGAATATTACACACCTCTCCAGACAATAACAATTGGCTGTGCTAAACCACCTCTTGACTTCCCAGCAACCTCGTTAAAGTGAAATACATTCAGGAAAAAATCAGATATTTTTTAAAAATAAAATCCAGGGAACCCTTATACACTTACTGGTACATTATTTATAGTTATTTGGAAATAAAGCAGATGTGAGATGTTAGTCTCTGAACTGCTCCTTTGCGCTGCATTTTTAAGATGAGAAGGAAGAACCGAAGATGCCACTGAAACGTCTTAAGTGAGGCACCAGTGTATTGAATGATGCGTATGGGGCCATTTGTAGGGCAGTGCATTAGGGTAAACGGCACTGGGCAGTAAATCATAAGATGTCGGAGATCAGAGAGAAAATGTCTGTTCCAATTCTGGAAAATGGCAGTAAATTGTGGTATAGATGCATACAGATCCTTGTCATTTGATTGGTGGAACTCACATATCACGTGACATGCGTTTTTGCTCCCATTCACACCGGGGCTCAAAAAGTCCCATATTCGCCTATAGGGAATGGGAAATACTATTGAACAGTTAGGATCATTTTTGTTCCATGACGTGGTACCATATTTGTGTGCAAATCCATGCTGGTGTGCGCGTTCAGCGTTGCGCGTATTGTTCCAAAAAGCCAGCACCACAGAGTTGGGTTCAAACATTTTCGCGAAGGGGTGGTTTGGAAGAGAGAAATACATTTTCCACCTATTTTGTATTGAAATAAAAGTTCAAGTATATCAAATGACAAGGATATATACATGTATGTCAGTTGAGTGGCATTAAGTTGTGAAATGGGAGGAATATTATCGCTCAGTAAAATCCGAACTTTTCCAGCTCACTCGGCTTCGCCTCATGAAATGGAAAAATCCAGATTTTACCTTGCTATATGATATTCCTCCCATTTCACTCTGAGCTACTCAATAATTATACAATGACACCCAAAAAAAAGAGTTAAACTGAATTCAAGTTGCAACTGAGGACTGGCATACTCATGAGCTGAATGCCAAAACTTTTCCATTTATTTTTTCATTTATTAATTTTTTTTAACAAGGTTTAGCATGGGCACCCTTGACCAACATTTGCATTGTGTAGTGTTCTAGTGTTGTTTTTCTTTTCTGGACAATACAAGAACTTGTAATGTTGGGACTCTCAAAACATTAAATTAGTTAGAAACAACATTTATTTGACTGCAGCTTGCTTCCGTCAGTTGCAGGTGTTCTTTTTACTCATTTCACCCAAAAGGGCAAGTTGTCAGCTATCTTCGGAATGACATTCCTCGCCATGTTGGTTGCCATGGTGAAGACTATTCGATTCCTCTCCTCAACCCTTGAAATATATCTGGACTGAAGAAAAAATTGGACCAAGCATTATTGGATGCGGCATCGTATGTCCACAACCGCTGCAGACGATCTGTGATTCAATTATCAGAGTCGGCAAAAAAATCATTGGCAATCAGGATTGGGTGGAAACCTACGGTACTCTGGATCTGGTTGGGATAGATGTAGGAAAGGGCGGAAGGCGTAGGACCTGTTGTATATGGTGCCTGTTACATTTAGGCCAATTACATGTATGTGGAGCAATGCGGAGCACTGCAGGGCAGTCAATTGTATGATTATGCATGCTGCAGAGCCTGTTACATGTACATTTTGGGGTGCATATGTTCCCCAATACCTATGTTCCCTAACCCTAACCCTAAGGATTTTGGGGAACATAGGTATTAGGGAACATAGGTACCTAGGCCTATGGGGAACCTCCGGCAGACCCCCATTTTGGGTAGCAAAGCTATGGTTTCAAATGCCACTTGAATGTTCTGGTTCACATTATGAAATAAGCGCCTGGGCCCAAATTTTGTAGCTCCTGACTTAAGTAACAGTTTCTGCAATATTGTAAGCAAGAACATATTGCTGACAGTCAGCGGTGTTATGAAATTCGGCCCTGTTGATAATGAAAGAAATGGCAAGTTTTGGAAAGTATCTGTGTATTGCATATACATTCTTTGATGAAACCATGCATCTTCCATTGTTTTTATTAAGATTTAATTTTGAAAATTGAAAAACTATTTTAAAAAGTTCATGCCAACTTACATGTAAATGTACAGTTTTTAAAGGCAGACTTTCATTTATACATTTATGTATACAAAAATGTACACAGTTACATTATTAAAAAGGATAATTTTTAGTTTTTCTGGTGTGAATGTTAGGGTTTCTGACTTTCAATTTTAACCTCATGGAGAGATGTTGTGCCATATTCATGTATTCTTGCTGGTCTCAGAGGGCCAGCCTACGTGTGTAGAGTGCTCTTTGTGCCTTATGACTGACTGACTCAATGACTAACTAATACTGACTGACTGACTCCCCGTCACTGACTGACTGCACTGACTGACTGACCGATTAATACTGACTGACTGACTAATACTGACTGACTGACTGTCACGGACTTAGAATGGTTGTTGGCGGGCGAATAGAACTGGCAGTGCTATTGTATAGGATTACTCCATAATCAGATAAATCCATTCTATTGTGTACACCAGATGCATGAAAAAATCTTCCAGTGACCAGTGACTTGCCATTCTGATTGAATAGAGTTTTTTTTATGTTTTACTGCTTGTCTTGCCTTGTTAAAATGAGACTTCTCAAGCAACAGAAATATGGCCACTGTCCCAACACTTCGCACTAATTCCAAAATAATGGTAATAAAGTTGCCTGTGGCATGTCAGTGGTCACTATCATTGATTAATTGGTGGTTGGGATTACATGTTGCAGTTCTTCTGCACCGATGGCCCCATTTGTTGTCACAACTCAAATGCCACACAAACCTCAAATGCCAAGCAAAGTTCAACGACAAATGACTGACGGCCCATCAGTTTGACCGGCAAGATGCAGCCAGATAGAAAAGCCGCTATCTTAACCACTAAAAAAAAATGATATCACGTTGAGAGTTTGTTTTAGTTCAACGACAAACTTCACGGCAATTGCAAGCTCAATTGGTCTTTCTATCACGAATGTTTTTCTTTATGATAGCTGCACTGTTTGGGTTTGGGTCGTTTCAAACGGAAATTCTTCCATTGTGAAAAATCAAAGTCCAGATGAAACGGAATTGACACAACTGACCATCAAGATAATAAACATACATACATGTACTAGTCTGTTGATGAAAGAAAAAAATATAATCACTCAGAAAATTTACCTTAGGAAAACATTTCCAGACTGGAGTGGCAATTTGAGTCTGAGGGCTTAGGCATAATGTATACTTCATCTCTTCTGGTAACTTACAATCACTGCTTTCATGTTTATATTAGTGTTACAAAAGTTGATGGTAATTCCTACATGCATTGGTAAACTAATACCAGGCACTGGGGGGAGGGGGGGGGGTGTGGACACCACATGGTACTAGGGGGCACTTTTTATGATACAGATTAACATCTTACACAAACTGGCATGCTTAGATAAGTGTACATGTACTTCAAGACAGTGTATTTAAAGCTTTTTTTGGCTGTACGTTCTCCATTTTTACACTTAGGCTGTTTGTGAGTTAGAAATTTAAGAACCTTAAAATTGGCATTTTTTGTTCCTCGCCACAAAAATCTGGGGAATGATCCAATGGCCCCTCCCCTCCCACCCCCCCCCCTTCATGTAATGATGCTTTTTGTGGGAGCTTGCTGGCTCTCCTCCCTTCCTGGCTCAAGCAAGCACACAAGTACACTCGGGAGGTGACATATGAGTCGTCAATAAATATCAAAATATTTATAGGCCTACTGCTATAATGAAAATTTTGTAAGGATCCAGTGTAGTCATAAGCCTATATTAAGGAACACTACCGGGTATCTTTAAAAAATCAGTTGACTCATTTGACTGTATTAATGTGTGGATTTTCACAACTTACATTTACATTGTAAGTTGAACTTGGAAATGGGCAATTTATGTTATTCGTAATTTGTAAATGGAAAGAAGTCTTTCAAAAATTGGAAGAGGAAATAAAGGTAGTGCAACCTTTTATTTTCACTTTCATTTTGTTTTTGGTTTTTTAACAAATTACATGTACGAATTATAATGAGGTCGGTAACGTCATGACACGTGTCCATTTGTGCTCAGAATTGCCCAAATACTTGAGCATGTACAATGTAGTTATTGTACCTGTGTCGTATAAAACAGTGAAATCCTTGATGATTATTCACACAGTCACATTTGAAAGGTGCTTCAATTTTTTTTTTCAAATGTATGCTGGCAACTAGATTGAAATCGGTTACAGTTTGCCCTTTTTGGAGGGAGATTCAAATGGAACGTGTGTGTGCATATACAGACACACACAGATTGCGTCTTTCATTGATTAGCAACAACATCATACATAAGGATTAACACGAACTAGGAGATAGTGATAGAACTTTGCACTGTGCATGCATGGTCGCAAATGACGCGAGTGATGGCACTATTTGACTTGATCAAACTCTTGTTGTTAAACAGACTTCCGACCCCACGCCCTCCGATAACCAAAAAAACCTACCATATAATGTATGTTTTACTAGCAACAAAATAACCATTCGTTCATTTGGTCATTCTACTCTGGAGAGGGGGAAAATCGACCCCGTAATCTGTGTTGAAATACCACCCTGGCAACGCCGCGTTTTCGTTTGGCCGAGCGGCCAACAGGGAAACAAGTTTATTACAGCCGTCTTCATCCCACTGATTGGCTGGTCTGATAAGACAGAGATTAGGGGGGGGGGGGGTCCACAGGCCCAGATTGTATCTGCCTGAGATTCAATAATACGAACTGTGCAAATATTTTCCCAGCAAACTGATAAGGCTGCTTGAAATAATGCCCTCGGCGTTTGTCGGTTGGCTTTTTTTTTTGTTGGAGGGGGATTTTTGCTCATTGGTGTGTCATTTTACTACGCTGCCCCACAGTGTGTGTGCACAGCCAGATTTACAATTTCTGCTCTGCATGATTTCAAATTCAAGAGGCGGTCACGGACGTAACAGGAGGCTGGGCACTCACCAGCGAGGAAATTGGATTGTGCAAATCTCATCTGCTTTTCATCTTCCAAGTGGACGGAAGTAATTTACGTAGGAATTAATCCAAAGGTCTGAGTGTGGAAAATAATGCTACGCTGAAGTGTTCATCAATAAATGTGCACGTACTACAGGAATGTGACTGCTTTGGATTTATTCATGCACCGGTAAATGTGATTGTTTTGTGAGGAAGTCAACTGTGTGCTTGAGATTGAATTCTCAGTGATTTGAGTCTTCCTAGCAGGAAATCTTTCAAGGTAGCTCTACATATTTTTTTTGTCTTCCAAAGGTGAGGATATTTACTTGGGGGGGGGGGGGGGGGCTTGCACTTTTGGATTTAAATAAGAAATGTATTTAAACTACCTACATCTTATAGCATATACATTCTGTATAGTATGCTACATGTATACAAGTTTGAAAAATGTTAAGTTTCAAAAAGGATTTTTCCAAAATAGGCTGCAAGTTGCAAGAACTAGTTCTGAGAGCAATGCTTCGAAATTAAACAAATTGGTCAAAGTTACATGTATATCAACATTAATTTTTTTCATCAGAATCACAAGCACAGAAATACAGAACTTGAAGAGTTGACAGTGTTTCTGTTGTTTGTAAAATACAAATAACTAGCAGAAAAACTGTATAAGAGGTAATAAATGTTTGAAAGACTGATTAGTTTGTTAGTAATTCATTCTCCAAACTTTCCAAAAATGCTTCCAAGTATTTCTATTTGAGAAAACTTTGCAAGTTGGAATATTTAATGAAATGTTTCTAAATTTTGAATAAGAAAAATATATCTTTGCATTTGAATAGCCATACAAACAATGAAGATATCTTCTCAATTTTATATTGCAAGGGTGTGATTTATCAGAAGAATCCCATATTCTTGAAGAATCCCTTATTCTCGAAGAATCCCTTATTCTCGAAGAATCCCCTTATATTCTTGAGGAATCCCTTATTCTCTTCGTGAAGAATCCCTTTTTCTCGAAGCATCCTCTTCGAAATCTCAGAGTATTTGGTGGTTTCCATAATGGTGTGATTACCTATAAATGTGTATGGAGAACAAAAGAAATGGGTATTGTAACAGGGTGCCTTTTATATGCAAACATACCATACATGGAGACCCTATGTTGGTCGGGAACCCTAAACCTTCTGCCGATTATTTCATGAATCTTTCATTTTCTCTCAATTTCGCCCCATGATATTGGCATTTTGCCTTTCTGACCGTCCTCATGTTCGGTACGCGTACACTATATTTGCATTGATTTCTTGCAGCCCCACTTAAATTAATTGCTTTGGATCAAGGTGCATCTTCACGATGATGCCGGGGCAATGAATCCCTAATGCATCGAGCCGCATGTTAAGTAAATTTACATTGAGGGATACAGATCGACTGGCACCATCCGTATTTGTCTCGTAATTAGGTTGTTGAAAGATCAGCAGTCGTGTACATGTACAAATGTACTTGTAGAGAGGCTTTTGGAGAATCTAATTAGGGCTGTATCGTTCGTTGTTAACTATCAGCTGTACGGTGCAACACAGTCATGCCGCAAAAGCACCGGGACAGACTCTTGTAATTTTGACAGGTGATTGTACAAATGGTTGTGTAGGATTTTGTTTTCTTACGTTGAGCAATTTGATTAATTATATTTGATTGGATTGGCAGGTACTGGTTTATTCACTTTACTACACTGTGTACACTGATGGAAATGGGTGAAATCTAGCCAGGGTTAGATTCTGTGTTGTTTATCAAACAGAACAGACGAGGGGCTATCAATTACAATGTGTGAAACTTGTAAAAGGCTTTTTTTAACTTTGTATGAGACATGGAACTGAAAAAGAAATTCCACCCTGTTTAATAAAGTTTACTAATTTAGAATAGCGCATATCCAGAAAATAAATCATGCTCCAAGGAATTTTCTTTAAAAGTTCAGACATCGGAACATAAAACATAGCTATCAATATTAATATAAACAGATTTAAACTTAAAAAAATACCATTATACATGTACAAATATAATATACCGTCATGGAGGAAGGCTTAGACTAAGATGCTAGAATTGGCCAAATGTTAAATTAATATGTACTCCTTGTATTCTTAAGGAATAGGCCTACTCAATGTCTTAATTAATCTTTTTTTATAATAACAGAATATCAGATTTGGTCTCAGGTTGCACCCCCATCCCTCATTTTCAGTTGAGAAGTAACTTTAACTTAAAGGCAAAAACAAAAACAAGTTCCGTTTCTGATTACATGGCATGTGAGAATGGTTAGGTATTTAGGTAGAGAGTTTTTGGGGGCAATTTTTTTTTGCATACGATCATATGGAGGTGTCTGCCTGTAGTCAAGGGTAATTGATGGCTTTCAGGTTTTTCCTCATTTTCCCCCAAAAAAATTAGGGTAGGGTCTGTCCAAATAGGGTAGGTACTAGGTAGGGTATCTGGAAGCAGAACTATTTTTGGTTGGCCTAAGCACTGTTCCCCTCCCCCCCCCCCCCCCCAAAAAAAAGGAAAAGAAACAAGTTTCCATTGTAAAATTATCTTTCAATTTCAAATGTCATAGAACATGTAGAAGAGCAATAGCACATCTCAGGAGCCCAATCACATTGCAACACCTGCATGCAAAATTTCTCTAAATATTTACAAAAGATCCGTGCATCGATGGCATTAAGAAATTTCTCCATCTAATTAAAAACATTTGCTGTTTGGCATGAGCGTTCCTTTGAGTATATGACCTTGGCATTTAATTCCTAAGCCTTTCTACCCAAATGTTAAGACTGTAATCACGACTAACACAGTTTTATGGAAAACAAAATTGCCTTGGGGCAAGTCCGTCCATCCTTTTGTTCAGTGCAATCCTCGATCATTTCAAAGTTGCCATACATTTCTGTTTAAAATTTAGTGAGCATAGGCTATGCATTGACGAACTTGTTTTTTATCTGTTCATGTACAAAATTACACAAGTCGTACTTGTGCACATACATGTGCATGTTTTAAGCCGATGTGTACATACTGTGACGGAAAGTGAAGTTTTATGCCCTTGTTCATGTTATTGTATTCTAATCTTATGAATGAACTGTAGTATAGTACGCCCGTGACTGGGTGTGGCTTAGCAGTCAGGGTGTGCGTGTATGCACGCACGCGATTGGTTAACAAAGCCCCATATGTTTAGTGCATCATAATGGTTTAGTGCATGTGCTATGTATGCGCGTAAGTAGATTGCTACGTACGTACGCGCGGGAGGTTTCTGGCAAGTGGCAGCGAGCTGTACAAACGTGAGTTGAGTGTGCTCTCGCTGTGGCGTGTATTGCTATATGGTGATTTGCGCTATATGCTAGCTACGCGCGGGCGAACTGTTGGACAGTTTAGCCGTACACTTGTGGGTGCATTGTGGTTGATTGGGGCTGGGCCCATGGTTTCGTAGTGCTACGTGCGCACAAACCATATCTCCACAGTGGCACTGAGCTATGCAATGCGATATTGTTTAGGCAGTGCAGCATTGGTTGTTGCGTTGCTGGAGTGTTTCTATATTGCAGCATTGGTCTGTGCATTGCTATAGCGTTCATGTATTGCAGCATTGGTTGTGCATTGCTGTAGTGTTCATGTATTGCAGCATTGGTTGTGCATTGCTGTAGTGTTCCTATGTTGCAGCATTGGTTGTGCATTGCTATAGCGTTCCTGTGATGCAGCATTAGTTTGTGCAGTGATTATTGGAGTGAGCAGTGCGATATTAGTTGTATATTGCAAATAGGGCTCATATTCGAAAACCACAGGTTGTAATAAAGCTACCCAAGACAATTACTCCCAAATCACTGAATCATAAATTTGTTGTCTCTGAAATAAATCATTGTGTTACTTGAGATTACCGACCATTCAGTTGCCAGTTGTCCTTGTTATTGTGTTATTGCCTAGTTAACAGAAGGTTTAGGGATCAATTCCTGCGGCGGTAGATTTCCACCCAAAACGAGCCTGCATCCTTAGCCTTTAGACTGCTTTGTGTAGTCCCTGGTCCGAGGAATAACTTGGTTCGGGAACAGTCCCGCCACAAATGGTGTCAGAAGTGGGATTGGAATTGATTAAGGTGACTTCTCTGTTGACTAATAGAATTGCACAATTGGTCTTCACGTGTTGTTGATTTCGGTGGTGATTTTTGGGTAGAGATGAGCGATCCAGGCTCGAAAGGTCGAATTGGCACCTCGAGTGCTGAGGTCGAGGTGCAACGACTGCGGATGGAAAACCAAATACTGCAGTGGGAAAAGGACCTCACTGAAAAGAAGTTGGCGCTAGCTGCCATGGACTTGCAGTCGGGTGATTCCCCAAATGGAGGAAACGGGGGTACACAAGCCGAGAGAGGGCGTGTGCGCCGTCGTGTTGATTCCGATGTTGAGTTTAGGTTGCCCGAAGAGACATCTGGGTATGTCTCTGGAGCGACGGGGAGAGAGTCAGGTGCAGGTGTGGTGCCTGAGTTGGCCCCTAAAGTGGGGAGGGGGGTGAGCTTTATTGAAAGTACACCTCAGAAAGGACAAAGCTCAGGGGTGTTCCCCCGAGCACAGTCAACGCCTATTTCTAGGGAGACGGAGGGTCCTAATGGGGATCTGTTGTCGTTCACGCCTGAGGTTGGTGTGAGACGGGGTAGGGCGAGTACCAACCCGTTCGTTGAAGATAAGGAATTGTGTACTCCTAAACAGGTACATAGTGAACTGTTGAGTTTCGCGACTCGACCAGTCGAGGCAAAGAACGACAGTTCAGCTCAAGTTGACATCTCGTCAGTGGGTCCGTGGCCACTGAAAAGAGAGGCACGGGTCCATGGTGGTGTGGGTCAGATGGGTAGTTTGGAGCGACCAAATCGCAGGCCAAACATAACCCCTGATCGGTACAGTGGGAAGGTACTCTGGAAGGAGTACTTCCGCCATTTTGAGTCATGTCGTGAGGTGAATATGTGGAGCGAGGAGCAGGCTGCGAGGTGGTTAGCCGCAAGCTTGCAGGGAGACGCTCTACGGTTGTTGGGTGACTCAGGCCACAAGTACAAGTACAATGCACTTGTTAAGCTGCTGGAGCGCAGGTTTGGGTCAGCTCGACAGAGTGAAAATTATCTTGTCGAATTGAGACATCGACGCCAAAAGCCAAAGGAGGGCTTGCAGGAATTAGGGCAAGCGATTCACGAGTTAACAGCAAGAGCATACCCTGAGTTGCAGGAGGATGCTCGGGAGAGGTTGGCTAAGAACCACTTCATAGACGCCGTTGATTGTCATTCAGTCAGGGAGGGCATTCATCGGGCTCGTCCAAAGACTTTGGAT